GGTTTCCAAGTGGGAGATGATACTATTAAAACAGTCAGATGGCTCTTGCTGATTCCTTTTTTCATGAAGAATTGTTGACTAACCTGAAAATACACCAGGAAGGGGTCCCTTTGGATTGAAAAGGCATTGCTCTCTTGAGTGCTCTCTACCACCAGTAGAATTGCAATCGATGGCTTTCATAGATCCCATTGTGAACCCCAGCAGCAGCGGGCGGTGGACACGTCCCCATCCCACACCACATCAGGGTGCTCTGGCCATGATAAACCTGAGCACGGCACTGCCTGGAGGTCCCCTTTCTTCCCAGCCCTGATCCTGCTGCCTGTGACTCTACCCTCACCTCTCTTCCTTCTGCTTTCCACCAGGCATACCGTGGAACATACAAGGGTTAATGCACCCCCTTTCAAGATGCTTGCATGCTGAGCCTATCTGGGGTTCCACGTAAGCCACATCCCTGACTTTGGTAGGGTATGGACCAGCTCACCCTCCCTCTAAGCAATGCAGTCAGCAGTGCCCCATTGTGTTCTGCAGACAAATGCTTTGCACCCACAGGAGCAAAGTGATGGTAGGACCTCACCTTCTCCCAGCAGTGGCCATCAGCCCTCCTCTGTGTCTTCATCCTCCGTGCGCTCAATGGATCCCATGGTCAGAGAACAGCTGAAGCCTTAATTAAAATGCAGAAGCTCCAGATGAGTGTTTTAGTGAACAAATGCCATTAATCACATTTTCAAAGAGCTGTACGACTAAAATTAATACCTCCTTCCTCCATTTCTACTGGTCAATCCTCCCCAGAGATAGTTCCACTTCTCGACCATGGATGTACCTATGCCAGCCACAAACCTGGCTGGCTGCAGCACAGCCTGTCAGCACGAGCCCTTCCCAACCACTGCTCGATTCTCCTCGGGGTCCAACCAACACAACACCAACTCCAAGGCAGGGGCCAGTGGGGCTACAGGCACGCCAAGCTCTTCTTCCAGCATCAACAAAGAAACTGTGCTGAGCTTCACTTGGGTGAACACCTGGAAGCTGTGGGATCTCTTGCCTTCCTTCAAAAACCATTTGTTGTTGTTGTGGAGTTGTTTCCTGAAATGACAGCACTGAAAGGTTTGAGTCGGTGTCTTTTGTACTTGTGAGCAAAGAAGGAGGAGCTGAGATACCTGCAGGGCTGCAGCAAAGGGAGCCCTGGAACAATAGTGGGTCTCAGTCTGCAAAGTGTATCCGGGGAAGGGGAGAGCACAGAGCATTCATGTTGGAGATGTTCTGGTTATGATTCCCCCCTGTGATGACAGTGCAGTCACAGCTGAGAATTTTTCGTGGTATCCAAACTGATCGTTGATAAAAAGAAGAAAAAAAAGAAAGGAAACAGAAAGAGAAGCTGTAAGGCAGAGCAGCACCTTCTGCCAACTCAGGGCTGGGCTGCCCCTTAACCACCTCCACGAGATGGTATTGCACCCAATGAACAAACGTGCCTGAGGTTTGGAAACCTCATCTCCCCTCCCCATCCAGATCCCTTGGATGGTCTCCGAGGCCTTGAAGTGAAGCCCTGGCAGCTGCTCCCCACCCATCTGTGAGTCTTTAGCCAACGTGGACTACAGCTGTGATATGGGCAGAGAGAAAGGAGCCTGAGCATTGCAGCAAGGACGCTGGGCATCTCGTGCTCAAGCAAGATGAAGAAGCACAGAGGATGAATGTAAAGCCTTGTGCACAGAAGCTCTGTAACAGATGAGTGAAGCACTGAGCCACAGAATCATTATGGTTGGAAAAGACCTCTAAGACCAGCAAGTGCAACCCCAACCCATCCCCTCTAACCACATCCCTCAGTGCCACATCCTCTCAGTTCTCCAGAGGCAGTGACCCCAGCACCTCCCTGGGCAGCCTCACCTCACATTTGGCAACTTCAATACAGTGCTCAAGAAACTCAAATTTTTGGTCCCCATTCTCAGCCAGAACCTGGCTGGCACTTTGGACCCAAGCAGATAATTCTATCACTTCAGTCTTTCATTCACAATGCTTTAAAATCGCAGCGCCCAGCAGCCGTAACAGACACTGGTGACCCATCCCCAAGACAGCTAAAGACACGAGTGCAGTATACAGAGATCAGCTCCACCCACAAAACCAATCCATTACTGTAATTACATGGACCAGAAGTCCTACAAACACATTGCATCATTAGCTGGTCGTGTGCCAAAGGTGAGGAGCTGGCCTGGGCACAGCTCAGCAGTGATGATTCCACTCTGCATCACTCGTTATTCCCCAGAACCCCAAAGTTAAAACAGCACCTTTCCTTCACGCATTCAGAACACATACACCCTCTCTCTCAAATGAGTAAGGAATAAAGCTTAAGAGGGAATAAAAATAAACAGCCTTGAATGTAACTTGACATTAATAAAGCTTAAGAAAGGATTAGGCTAAGCTTAGGAAACACACTTGGTTCCATTCAGCAGCTCCTTAGGGCTTCCCTTCAGAGCACACTGAGGCTGCAGCAGCCCCATTTGGGCGTGCAATACACAGCAGTGAGGAACAGCCTGAAATTCAGCTCTCTTCACTTGCCCTGCTGCTGTCCTGTTACCTTTCATGCCAGCATTGAGGAGCTCCCAAGCCTTATTAGGTGCATCACAACAGAAAGCAGCTGACGGAACAGTTCAAGGTCCCCTGAAGAACAGCAGATCCTTCAGCTCTTCAAAACGAGGACAAGTCAAACAAACAGAACTGCTCAATATTTTGTAGGGCTGCAGCTGCTTTGAACTGCAAGCACTGATAAATGAATAGAGCACCAGGGGACATTCAGGTTGGGAATCAGGAAATATTTCTTCTCCAAAAGAGCGGCGATGCAGTGGCACAGCTGCCAGGGAGTGGTGGGGTCACCATCCCCAGAGGCACTCAGGAACCACAGGGATGTGGCACTGAGGGATGTGGGCAGTGGAGATCTGAGAGATCTTTTCCAGCGTTGAGGATTCTGAGTAATGATGCTGGGCTTTATGCACTGATCACAGCGTGCCCAATCCATCTCCTGGGGACAGGCCCAGCTGGAGGAGAAAATTTCTTGCAGGAGTGAGTGAAGGAAGCACCGCAGTGAGCAGATCACCCTGAGCACCCAGGGATGGAGCAGGAGTGGATGAAAACTTGCTGCTAAAATAGCAGCCCTAATCCCAGCACTAACAGCCCTGATCCCAGTGGGCACCACGATTAGGGGCTTAATGGAGAGCCGGCAGCTCCCTCGCTCCCGTCATCAGCACTTTGGGTGGGATTAGAGGGCAGGAGGTGGATCTGTCACCGTGCTGCTGCAAGGACACGGGTGGGCCATGGTGATGGAGGACACCGAGGATGGCTGGCTGCTCAGATTATCTCCTGGCTTTCTGTTTGGGGATTTACCACTGGGCGCTTGGCAATTAGAGGCAGGAGCTAAGATTAGAACAGCCAGAGGTCTTCCTGGCTGCAGGACACCAAGGACACTTCCCATGCTCTGAATATTCCCACCTGTGTGCAGAGACCACTCGCACGTGCAGTTGTGACACTACAGCCATGCAGATATCCACCTCCCACAGCACCCTTCAGTGCATCCTTACCCTTCCAGAGGAGGAAATCCAGGGTCACTGTCCCTGGAGGTGTTCCAGAGCCATGGGGATGTGGCACTGAGGGATGTGGGCAGGGTGGGAGTGGGCTGGGATTGGGCTTGGGGATCCAAGAGGTCTTTTCCAACCTTAACGATTCTATGATTCTCCAGTCCTGTTCTTCTGCCTACAAAGAATCAGGAAAACAAAAAGTTTGGAGTTAAAAGGAACAGCAATCCTAGGTTTCTCACTATGGTAGAACAGGGAAACATTTCCTTGTGCCAAACAAACTATGGGCCTTAGAACTAAACAGCAGACCTTTCCAGCAGCTTCTCTTCTTCTGCCTACCTGTTTGTTAATCATCAGACCTCACTGCAGGTCTTCCACTGGTTTTTCTTTTCGTATGTGCACTCACTCCTGAGACTCAGCATTCCACCTCCAGTCACCTCCATCACATAATAGCTTAGGTTGGAAGGGACCCCAAAGACCATCAAGATCCAACCCCACTGCTGCATGCAGGGCCACCAACCTCTCCATTTAATACCAGCCCAGGCTGCTCAGGGCTTCATCTAACATGGTCCTGAACACCTCCAGGGATGGACAGGGCATCCACAGCCCCTCTGCAGCTGTTCCAGCACCTCACTGCTCTCTCTGTAAAGAACTTCCTCCTGGTATCCAACCATAACCTTCCCTCCTCCCAGAGACATGCACGACTGGGGCTATTTTGTCCTTGGAATGTCCCAGCACTCACACACCCCTGTACCACACAAACATGGCACTGCCTCATCTCCCTTCTGCCCAACCCACCTCTACAAGCACCCAGCTGTGGCAAGTCATCCATCTCCAGCTGCACTTCCGTACTCTGCTAAGGTCACTCATCGACACAGAATCTGACAGATATTGAAATATAAATTACAGGATTAAATAAGATTTTATTGTCACATTTAACTGCTTTGTCAGAGATGTACATTTTGCAGGTTTCTGTGCGGAATAAAAATAAAACCAGAGTTGCCATCTTGTCAATTCCCATCTCAACACGCACGGGCAGCCGAGCTGCAGGCGCTCACCGACAGCAGCAACGCACCCAGAACCAGTTCTGTTCAATGGACTGCAAATCCCAAAGACAAAATGCAACAGCTTAAGGCTAACGAGAATCGTGTAAAATAGTTAAACCAGCCCACGAGATGCTGAAGGGTGGAAGCACTCGGTAGAAGAGTGGCACTTTTCACATCTCCTTTTGCTTAATTTAGTACAGGTAAAGAGAGGCTAACGAGCAGAGCTTTTCCCACACACACAACACTGAAGTGCTGAAGTCTCAGTCTTTTGCAAATCTGATGCATTCCCACCTTTGGTGTGACTGCTTTGTTCTCCAGGGTATAAACCACAAGTGGTTGCTCACACCTCAACGCGACAAATGCTTACGATGCCCTCATCGTAAACTGTGTGTTTTCTCATTTACAGATCAGGGATTAAATCCAATAATACACAACATTTTAGTGGCATAATTTCACATGTTTTGGGCAACATTAGTATACAAGCAGTAATTAAATAAAAATAAGTGCATCCAAACATGAAATTCTCTAAATACACCACACTTCATTTATCCCAAATGGCAATTTTCTGATGAGCTGCAGTTCAAATTAAAATAATCATTTACACATTTCATCCAGAGGAAAAGAGGTAATAAACCCAGGGGACTCTCCAAACGATCTCCTCCCACCCCATCCCCTATTTATTACATAAAATAACTCATCTAGAGGCGTCAATCCAATATTCAGATGCAAATAAAACGCAAGAAGCAGTCTCTGCTGTTTGCAATTTGCAGACTCCAAAGTCCAACCACGATGGAATTTACCACTTCTGTCAGTCATTTGCTCCTGTATGTGCACTTTGCATTCATACTAAAATAACAAACGAGACAATAAATGAGGCTAGTGTGGCATACAGTCGTTGTAAACCCAGCAAAACCAGAAGAGTAATATTTCTGACATTCATTCGGGTGATTTCTCAGCCATCCCACCCCCCCGACACCCTTTACAGAAAAGAAGGCAACCGACACTGTAAGTGATAGACACATTCTGCTAGGAAAAATGTTGAAACGAACCCCTTCTCTGTTCAAAGAGCATGCCCATAGAAGGTAGACTACATCTGCTCCAGTCAGGCTTCTCCCAGTTCCCAACATCTCTCTGCTTGCAAAGGCCAATTTGGCTTATCACAGAAAGCTATTTTGAAGGCGGCCGACACAATTTGTTTTCCCTTTCAGAAATTAAAATTCAAGGCATGATAGTGCAAGAGGTAAGTTTTGATTTGAGAACATTACTTGTAGACTAACTGTGCTTAGTTACTACAACCCAATTTATTGTCTTAAAGAAAATACGGCAACAAAAGCTACAGGATTTCTATAAATCTCATTTTGCCTAAGTTTACCAGTACATCCATGAACCTCATCAGTATTAGTACAACTTGATTATCCTAATGATTCCATTACAAAACTTGCAAAATGTATCACGAGGTGAATCAACCATCTAGTGCAAGTCTTCTACATCGTGTGCACAGTAATCCTGTGTAGTTCATCTCCTCCAGGTTTAATCCCCAAAGTCTCTCTGTAACGACGATGAAAAACAGTGTCACATCCTTTTTGTTTTTTTTTTTTCCCCCCTATCAAATCTGAGAAGTTTGAGTGTTCCTGGAGTCACCATCGGGATGTGCTGGAGGCCGTGAATCCCTCGTCTGTGAGTATT